ATGCGTCATGCTCGTTACAGGGAGCCTGTTTCATACTCAGTGGAGGGTCACAGCTGAGTCCTGAAGGCTAATACCCCTAAAAGTCTTTCTCCAATACTCAGATAGATAAACATACAACTCTTGGAGTACTAAGAAAATAATGGCCTTCGTTTATTAAGTGCTAATGTGCCAGGTACTGTGCTAGGAACTTTACAACTCTTTTCCTCACAGGAACCACACTATGCTGTTATTATTATTATTCCTATTTAATAAATAAAGAAGCTGGGACTTACAGAGGTTATGTAGCTTGTTTCAGGTCACATCCATAGTCAATGACTGAGCTGGTCCATTCAACTCCAAGGCTTGTACTCTCTTCTCCATGTGAGCACACGGCTTCACTATTCTTTCCTTTTATTTATCTACATCTGACCCACCCTTTACAACTCAAACATCCTGATTGTCACTGATGTCCCTTCCCTCTATGCATTCTAGTAATGTCTAGTCTACATCAAATTAGTTAACATTTTCTCTTTTATTTTTGGATGGACATAATTTTACTTTATTATTTTATTGAGGTCATATTGGCTTATAGCATTGTGTAAATTTCAGGTGTACATTATTATATTTCAGAACACAATATATTGCATTCTGTTCACCACCAGTAGTTTAGTTTTTACCTGTCACCATACATATGTGCTCCTTTATCTCTTTCACACTCCCTCCACGCCCTTCTCCTCTGGTAATCATTAATCTGTTCTCTATATCTATGTGTTTGTTTATCTTCCACATATGAGTAAAATCATACAGTATTTGTCTTTCTCTGTCTGACTTATTTCGCTTAGCATAATACCCTAAAGAAGATGTGAGATATACATATATATATATAAAATGGAATACTGCTCAGCCATAAAAAAGGACAAAATCATGCCATCTGTGACAACTCGGATGGGCCTTCAGGGTTAACGTTTTCTTTTACATAGTCTTTTGTGTTCTCAGATTGCTTCATGTGTATACTGTTGAATGTGGCAGGTACTTGATACATATTTCTTCAGTGAATGGATGTTAAGCTAGTCTCCCCAAACGTAAAACAGACTCTGGAAGGACAGACACTGTGTCTCACAAATCTCTTTATTCTTCATACAGAGAATGCCTTCATAGTCATCTAAGCTGGCCTATGGCTGGAGGACCAGATCCCACTTGAAAATGGTTCTTACAGACATGTCCTCTGCCCATGGACTGGAAGGTTTCTCCTTAAGAACAGGACCCTGCTCATCTCATTATATCTTATAGTGAGTATGGGAGCTGGCATGTAGTAGGAGCTCAGAAAAGGTTTGATGAATTAGAAGACTGGATCAGCACTTATTCTACTGGAGACACATCAAGGTCAGCCTTCCCATAGGACCCCAAACCTATCTTCTCTCACGCCCAAGAAAGGGAAGCGGGAGAGCAGGAAGGTTGGCCTGGAACTTTAAGAAGACAGGCTGTTGACCCTGCCTGTGGCCCCAGATAGTCAGTGGGGCATCCTCTCTAGCTCATGACTCCTCCTGTGACGATAGACCCAGGTGGAGCTTTTCAGAGCCCATGTTTCACTCTCACACCGTCAAATTCAAAGAGTGGCGCAAACTCTTAAGAATCTGTGACTCTGTTATCTACAGATCCATCAACACTCCATGTGAACCTCCTCTACTTCCCATCTCCCCTAACCTTCAGAGCAGTGACACGCTCACAGGTATCTGGAGTCCCTTTGATCTGTCCTATAATTACTCGGCACACCCTCTCCCAATCCCCCACCCCTGCCCCCATCCTAACCAAAGCAGTATTCTTTCAGCTCCAGGGATCTGCCAGCCAGGGCTGGCAACAAGAGGAAGGAGGCTGCCCTTTTTGCCTCTCAGCCAGCTCTGCTACTTGGTTGGCCAAACTTGGTCCCTCTGTGCTCCCCATCTCTACACCTGCTTGCCTCTCCTCTGCCTTTTCTTCAAGATGTTAAAAACTCGCAATAAAAAACAAATACAAAATGCTGTAATTAATAGCCAATTCCAAGCCAACCCAGCATCTCTACTAATAAACCTCAACACTTGCAAAAAGAACAATAAATTCTGCCCCTCTCTGGTTCTGAGGTGGTCTCTTTTATACACTCTGTGTGTATGTATGTATGTGGGTAAGTGTGTCTACATATATATTTATTTTCCTTTATTTCCCATCCAGGGAGGGGCAGAATAATGAACTGCGTGCGTCAGGGAAGATGAATCTGAGATACTAGGGAGCAGTGCAGTAAAAAGATTAAAGTGTTATTATTGTTGGGTTTTTTTCCCCCATGGTCCATTGTGACAGCTCGACCGTCATCTGTAAAAAATGTCTCAGCGAGAGATAATCATCGGAAACTCAATAAAGCGTCAGGGGGAGCCTCAGCCCCCATCAATCACTGGGTGCCTGGAAAATTTCAGCCCTCTGTCTCCCTTCCTGCTATCCATATAAATGTCTCTAATATATTTTGTGTGGTGTGTGGGACCCATCCCTGATTTGGAACTTTCGATGAAAAAATATTTATACACAAAATATGTAAATCAGTTAAAAATCACAAGACTAGTTCTTTGCCACCCCATCCCATTTTTTCTTATTTTTATAAATGTATCGAATTTATTCTTTTTAATAAAACATGTCAACCAGTCTATCTCCCTCTCCTAGTCAAATATATATATAGGTTTGGAGGGCTAAAAGGATGGAAACAATTAACCTAACTGACTGATACACTTAATCTTGAAGTTGGCCAAAAGGCCTGATGGACTGACAGTGCACTGTCCATCCTGGTGACTCTATAGTGGTTGACACTGCTGAGAAACGACATGTAGAACCACCGGCCCTGCGGGTGAGACAAGGCTCTGACAACGATGAGGAAGAGGCAGGGACATTATGAAAAATAACAGCCTGCCCAAACAGCTTTTGGCCTGGCAAATTCCCAAGGCTTCCAAAACTTTGAACAAGCCAGAGATTCTGAGCTAAGTGTGGGGCACATATAGGCTGATACGCTTGCTGGGTTCTCTAAGTGCGGGGCACATATAGGCAGATATGCTTGCTGGGTTCTCTAAGTGCGGGGCACATATAGGCTGATATGCTTGCTGGGTTCTCTAAGTGCGGGGCACATATAGGCTGATATGCTTGCTGGGTTCTCTAAGTGTGGGGCACATATAGGCTGATATGCTCTCAGGGGACAGTTTGTTTGTTTGTTTAAGATTGGCACCTAAGCGAACAACTGTTGCCAATCTTCGTTTTTTTCCTTCTCCCCAAAGGCCCCCAGTACATAGTTGTATATTCTAGTTGTGGTCCCTCTGGTTGTGCTATGTGGGACGCCGCCTCAGCATGGCCTGATAAGTAGTGCCATGTCCGCATCTGGGATCTGAACGGGCAAAACTCCAGGCCGCCAAAGCAGAGCATATGAACTTAACCACTTGGGCACAGGGCCGGCCCTGGGAACAGTTTTGCTGGCATTTGGCATCATCTCTCTGCCTCAGTTTCCTTCAGTGCCTACATCATAGAGTTGCTGTGAGCACAGAGTAAGTATCAATAAATGCTACCTGCTGCTGTAGCTGTCATGGTCATCATCTTACCACCTCCCCCGCTTCTCCATCCTGGAAGGAATCAGTTTCTGCAGTACCCTGTCCTCTAGGACCTTCAAAGGCTCTTCTCTGTCTAAAGGATCAAGTCCAAGGGTCTTGATCTGGCCCCAGTCTAACTGCATCTTCACTGCTCATTACTCTCTAAAATGAATCTTCTGCTGTGTGGATGCTTCACCCTAACAAGTTCACTTGCCAGCCTGAAACACCTTTTTTTTCTGTTTCCCACCTCTGTTTTAGACATAACACACCCTCCATCTCTGGTCCCACCCAACTGAACTCACCTGCACGCCCTCCATAAAACCTTCTTATACTCTGAGGCTCAAATACCATTTTAATTTCCTGATGCTTCAGTCAGAGATTCCCTTCGTGAGCTCTGATAATCCTTGTTATCCATTCCTCTGCCTGGACCCTTGTCAAATACTGTCTTGGTCATGTCTTCAAACTTTATTACTATTAATTGCTATTCTTCCTAGCACCTTACGTGTGTATGATGCCTTGTATTTCCTCAAGTAATTTCATAAGTTCTTCAATTTGATCTTCATAACAAGTCTATGGTGTAGGAAGTAATATTCTCTACAAATGAGAAAAACTGCCCAAGGTCACACAGTTAGGTGATGGCTAAGTCATTCCTTGGACTCTGAATAATGTTTGGCTCCTTGTGGATAATAGTTAGCTACCACTGAAAACCATCTGGACGGTTGTGTGAGAGACTCTGAATCAAGTTCTCTAAGAGTATGATAAGGATAATGATGATGATGTAAAAACATGAATTCACATTAATGGAATTCCTTCTATGTTCTAGATTTTAGGCTAAGGATAAATCTACTACCTCTAACTCTCCCAATAACCTTTATTTTACCAATAAAAGGACACAGCCTCTGAGAGGTGCAAAAAATCGTTCCAGGTGTCACAGCTCTGAAGTGTTCCGTACACCCATAATACCATAGCTGAAGCACACAGCCTCTCTAGAGTGAAGCTTAAAGTGGCAAAATCATCTCTCTTCCAGGGAGAAGGTCTAGATGAGTTTTTTTTAAAGCAGTTCAAGCACAAGGCCGTGACTAACACCTGTAACCTAGATGATGCTACTCAAAGACTGGGAGCCTGTTAGAAATGCAAAATCTCAGGTCCTACCCCAGACCCACTGAATCAGAATCTCTGAGGGTGGGGCCCAGGAATCTGTGTTTCGACAAGCTCTCTAGGGGATTCTTATGTCCTTGGGAGCCTCATTACTCCCACCTGAGTGTGTGCTCTCCAAGGGCATACTTTCTCTCTGCAATGCCTGGGCAGCGCTGGGCATGCAGTGGATGCTGGGTGCTTAACTTACACTGAATAGACGAGCTAGGATAAGACTACTCTTTAGCATGTCCTAGGGAGGGGGAAACATATTATAGAGAGCAGTTGCATTACCGCCAGTGGGGACTCCTAGCCATCTCCTGAACTCCAGGGCACTTGTCCACTGGTTTGTGATGTGCCAGCTTGCATCGTCTTGTCCCCCATCTGAAGACACAGAGATGGGGAGATCAGCTGGAGCAGGCCAAGACCTGCAGCCCCTGGAGCTGTGGGAAGGGGGCCACCCAGGCTAGTGGGGTTGGTTCTGGCAGGTCCAGCCTGGCAAGCTAGACCCTCTACCCCCAGAAGGGCCCTATGCCAATCCAACTTCTGCACTACTCATCTTTATTCAGCCACCACTTGGAGCTAAGAACAGAAGCTGATTTATAGCCTGCTCTGGCCATGTTTCTGCCGTGTTTTATTGTTTTAATTGTACATATGAGAGGCACTCAGAGTGCTTGCTTGCATTTCTGACAGCCCCAGACACCCAATGTTCATAACAGTTACTTACAAGCAGCCAGCGGCATCCCCGGCTGGGCGACTTGTTTACTGTTACCACTAATTTATTGCCTCCTCCACCTGAGGATTGGGGCCCACCACCCATCAGCCAGCCACAAGTGGAACTCTCCTGGAGCAGGCCTGGGTAGGGCTCAAGGCACTGAATGGAATGTGGTCAAGATGAGGAATGAGTTGGTAGAGAAGCAGCCATGATCGCCACACTCTCTCCACATGTGTCCTCTCAGTGTGCCTTTGCTCAAGCTGTGTCCCCTGCTTAGAACATCTTTTCTTTTTTCCCCTCCTCTTCAACCTCCAAAGCCCAGCTCAAATCCCACTCCTTCTAAGTACATTACTTGGTCTGATGGTGAGCCTAGAATTTCTAGAACCTTAGAAATCACAGGACCGACAGGGTCCTTGGAGGCCATGTAACCCAATGACCCTGCACAGAATCCCTGATAGCTAGCCAGCCTCTGTGAGTGCCCCTTGAGTGGTGAGTTACTCAGGCTGGTTTCCTGCCTTACACTGAGCCAAAACCCAACTCTGTAGAGAAACTCTTTGTCAAATGTCACCGTGCTTTACAAATGATTATCTCATTATCCTAACAACCCTTTAAAATGGGTACTGTTATCCCAACATTACAGATGAGAAAACTGAAATTCAACAAACTTAAGTCACTTGCTCAAGATCACACAGCTGGTAAGTGACAGAGCTTAGATGAACCATGACTTCCTGGCACTGAAGTATGACCTTTCTCCAGGACACCATTGTGCCTCTGAAGATGCCACTCTGAGGGCTGGAGAGAGTAAACAGAACAGTCAGGGCAATAAGGCTTCTGTGCCAAGCATCTCTCTGTCACCTGCACCACCCAGAAACACCAACCTTGACAAGGGTGGAAGATACTGCATGCAATGTGTCCAGCTGAGCAGGCTTCTTACTAAGGAGCAATGGCCATATGTAAAACAAGAGAAGGGTGTCACTAGGAATTGGGCAACTGATGACAAAGTCTTAGCAAGGAGGGCACAGAAGTTTCTTTCCTCTCTAGGCTGTGCCTTTTCTGAGCAGGCAGAACAGACACAGAGCCTCTCTGGGAGAAAACAAGGCACCTTCTCTGATACCTTTAGTTCTCCTTGCCTGGATCCTCTTTCCTTCTCACACCTTAAATGCCGGTACCCTGAGTGAGGGACTTGTCCTCTCACCCCTCACTTGAACTCCCTTCCTTGGGTAGTTTCCGTCACATCCATTGTTTTAACCACTCAGTAAATGCTGGTGACTCCTAATCCCTATCTCCTGCCAGACTTCTCCAGACCCACATCCACATTCACCCAAATCAGAAACCGAGGTGACACCACAGGCGCCTCTCTTTCCATTAATTCCCACATTCCATTGAATACTCAACCTCCTCCTCATATTTTTCTAACATCTATTTTTCCCATTCCAGAAGATCACTTTTAGGAACCCTCAGAAACTTTAAGTGCATTTTGGGAGAGAGGAGCAGAGCTTCTCACCTAGTTCTCAAAGGAGTCCATTACCCCAAAAAGGTTAAGAACCATTGCCAATCTCTCCCCTCCAATTCATGCCCCATCCTGTCAGAATGGTCCATCTAAACTGCAAATGTAACTTAAACATTCCTCTGCTTAAAATCCTTTAATGGCCTCGAGAAAACAGTGCGAGCCCCCCAGAACTGTCTTACAAGGTCCCTCCCACGTGGAATCCTGCTTTCCTCTCCAGTCTTACTTCTTGCTATTCTCCTCAACACTGTGGCAGATGATTCCACCTGCGGGCACCCACCCCATGTCTCTGCAAGTGCTCCTTCTGCCTGGAAAGTCCATCCCTCTTAGCCTGCCTGGCAATCTCTGACTCATCCTTAAGACCCAGTTCAAAGTCACTTACCCTGTGACACTTGCCAGACAGCAGCCTGCCCTCAGGTAGAGCTCATCACTACCTCGATCAGTGCTGCCTACAGCCTTTGGACATCTACCTCTGCACTGTGGTGCCTTGTTCTCAAGCTCTGTCTTCTTACTTTCCTGGGAGCACTGTCGAGGGGCTAGACCATGTTTATTCATTTTTATATTCCTAGCACCTGGCAGAGTGCCTGACACTCAGTAAATGCATGCTGAATTATAAACAAAACAAACAGGCAATCACAACGGTACAGTTCTTTACAATTCACACGTCACATACTTTATCTCTTGATCTTCACAACAATACCGATAAGGGAGACAAGGGATATATTACTGGGGTTCAGGGAGGTCTTGCCAAGGTCCCAAACTACAACTCATCACCTCCCTTCAGTACTAAGCACAGGCTGAGTCCCACAGAAATATCTATCAGAAATTTAGTGAACTTGATGGACTCTGCCACTGACTCTATGCTCCAATACTGAAGGACTGTCTAACTTTCCTGAGCTTGTGACTTTCATGTGCATTTGCCTAGACAGACTCTGGGCAAGGGGCTTGCACCTCTTGTTCTACTTAACCTCCTCACACATGTCCATAAGTCAGGAAACTTCCTGTGAAAAAGCCAGTCCAATCCAAAGGAGACAGAATCACAGAAGTCTTTCGTTTCTGTCTTCTCCATCAATGAGAAAGGCCCAGAGCAGGGTGCAGTGCCTTGCCTATAGTGGGCAATCAATAACTACTGGTTGAATGGATGAAAGAATGAGGTATCTTTAAATGGAAAAAGAAAAGAAAAATCTGTTCGAGAAAGAGCTAAAGGTTTAGGCTGGTAAGAAGAGGAGAGCCCTGATGTGATTCTAAAGGACTGTTAGTCTCCAGGCCCAGAGTGAGAAAGCAGAGTGCGTGAAGTCAGAGAGCAGAGCACACCCAAGCTGATGCACCGGGGCAAATGGGATGAGCTGCCAGAAAACTGTGGCCGGCAAAGGTAGTCTGGAATTTAAAAAAAAGAAAAAGGTGCAGAGAGAGGTAGATCTTACAAGCTACAGAGCAGTGAGTTTACCAACGATTGCTGACAAAATTCTAGAATGTATTTTTTTAATGGTTCTTAAACACTTACGGGATTACTGGGCACCAGCATGGATTCTCCAAGAACAAGACATGGTCATGCCAGAATAACCTAATATCTTTTTGGGAAATAGTTACTGTGCAAGAAAATAAGATTGCTAAACACGTTTTTACTTTAGCAAGAAGTCTGAGAAAATCTCTTAAAATTTTGTGGACAAGATGGAGAAATACTGGCTAGAAAAGAAGGAAGTTTGATGGATTCACAATTGTGAATATTGACTAATGCTTCAAAATTGTCCTGATCATGTGCTCCAGGGTTCTGTACTTATTAATAGAGTCCTTATAAACATTTAAATCAAAGACTAGCACATAAAGTACCTGATGGCAGGGCTCTTGTCTGTCTAACACACCTGTGCCTTGAACAGTGCCTGCGAGATAGGAATGTGATCAATAAGTTTTTTAAAAATTATTTTTAAATAAATAAATGAATCCATAGGAAACCTATTCATTCAATTTGTAGGTCATACAAAATAAGAAGAGATACTTAATATTTTTATCTTTATTTCACGAGGAATATAATAACCTTTTCCAATATTTTTATTGTCTATCTATCTGTCTGTCATACTGCGGCACACTGTGTTGCTGTGATGCTGAAAGCTATGCCACTGGTATTTCAAATACCAGCAGGGTAACCCATATGGACAGGTTTCAGCAGAGTTTCCAAACTAACACAAACTAAGAAGAAGGACCTAGCCACCCACTTCTGAAAAAACTGGCCACGAAAACCCTATGAATGGCAGTGGAGCATTGTCTGATGTAGCGCTGGAAGGTAAGAAGATGGTGCAAAAAGACCAGTCAGGGTTCTGCTCTGCTGTACACAGGGTTGCTAGGACTTGGAACTGACTCGATGGCACTAACAAATCTACCTACCTACCTACTTAGAATGTAAACTGGCTAACACAAGAGTTAAAAAATTCAGAGGAGGTTGACCAAAAAAAGAAAAAAAAGCAAAAGAAAGGAAGGAAGGAAGAGAGAGAGAGAGGGAGAGAGGGAGGGAAAGAGAGAGGGAAGGAGGGAGGGAGAGAAAAGAATATCTAGAACAGGGTTGGCAAACTACGGCCTATAGGCCAAATCCAGCCTGCTGCCTATTTTTGTAAATAAAGTTTTATTGGAACACATCCATGCACATTCATTTGCGTATTGTTTATGGCTGCTTTGCACTATAATGGCCAAGCTGAGTAGTCACAACTGAGACCAACTGGCCCACAAAGCTTAAAATGTTGACTATCTGGCTCTTTCCAAAAGAGTTTGCTGACCACTGATCTATAACGTTGACTACGAGCACCAACCAGGAGAGAACTATTAGAACACAAAGGTATAAAACATGAATGCAGGGGGTGGGGACTGGTATGACGTGACAGCAGAGGTTGGACTAGATGGCTTCACAGCTCTGAGATTCTGTGGAATCAAAATTGCTTACTGAGCTCCGTAGGGATCCTAAGAGCAGATGAGAAGACACTCAAATAATCCCTTCCCTTCTCCCTGGCCCTGCCCTCTCAGCAAATGCTCCTCCCTCCTTTTTGGTGAAAGCACCAGAACAGAAGACAGAGCTGAGGGTGGCAATGCTGTGTCCGAGTGAGGAGAGGACAGCCCATAAGCAGAGTCCCCACATATCAGGCTGCAAATATAGGGCAAGTTTGGAATTCATGAAATTCTCCTGTTTGAAACATAAAGGGAACATAATCCTCCAGCTCAGTGGGGAATCCAAGGAGGCACAGGACATGGCTTGCACATGGAAGTGTCAGCTGAGGAGGAGAGAAAAGACATATGGGCAGGTGAGAGTTCAAATAACCATAAAAAGGCCAAGATTTAGAGAACATTCAAAAGAGCAGCTGAGGGCAGGTTGCAATTATTGTCAAGGACAGGGAAGGTTCTGTGGAGGATCTAGCCGTAGCAAGGGAGCCTGACAGAAGGAGCAGGCGTAGAGAGGTGGAGAGGCAGGCGGAGGGCACCTCCACACTTCACCTGAGCAGCAACGCTCTGATGCGCTTGGCACTCCCCTCAGGTGCTGACTTGAGAAACCCAGCTCTGCGCTACCATACCCATGTCAGTGTGGCAGCCTCACTGACAGCTCTGAGGGCTGAACCTCCCCTCAGCTGAACCTCCTTCAGGTCACTGCCCTGACCCTCAGGCAGTCAGCAGGGCTGTCTGTCCTCCTGGCATCACTGCCAACTCTAAAGCAGCCACTGCTCAGCTGTCCTGTTGCTGGAAACTGAGGGCGATCCCAGCCTCTGCGAGCAATCCAGGATAATGAGCAGGAGGAGGGCCAATCTGGACAAGAAAACCTCAAATATAAAACACTCATTTCTGTCCGCAGTCAGAGCAACCTGCCCTCTTCTCAACCCCACTTTTGAAGAACTACTCACCAGAGCCAACGCAGACTAACTTGACCAAGTAGCCTCCAAAAGACACACGACCGAGCCCCGGTACAGGTACATACCGCCTTCTTCTTCTGGAGAAGTCCAAGCAACCCCACACACAATAGCTCAGGGAGTCACTGATGACCACCCCACTTTACAAGCACAGACATCAAGGCACAGAGATGGTCTGCTATTTGTCCTGGGTCATACAGTAAGTTCTGGGGCCAGTCCCACAGACAGGATTGTATTTTATTAAGAGGAGGGGGAAAAAGCAATATTCAAAGTAGTGTTGAGGGATCTCTGAGGCTGAGCAAACCAGTGAGGCTGCTTTCTAGTTCTAGGGCAGGGATGGGGCAGGGTAAGTCTGCAGGAAGGAGAGGAAGAACAAATCCACATTCCATGCAGTTGCCTTAATTATTTTATGGAAACCTGCTCCACTGTCCGCTCATCTGAGACTCTACAGGCTGAGGCACTTTCAGGAGAACACCAGCTGAAAGGGTCTCCCAGCCCTCCCCCAATCATGAAACCAGGGCTCTATTTTATTCCCCAAGACTTCTGAAGTGACATAAATTACAGAGCCAGAGGGGACTGTGAAGGGCATCTGTTCTAGGCCTTTTGGCTTATCTGTGAATTCCTAGAGGATAAGGGGCTTGCAGGCTCTCACTGAGGAGCTGGCACAGAGCAAGGCTGCCTGGAAGCCACAGGGAGGAGAGCTCTCAGAATGGCAGGGTAGCCCACGCTTACCTTCCAAAGAATGGATTCCCTGCTCCTTGGCAGTCTTGTAAACACTGCTGAAATCATCCCCAAGGTTTGGGTCAGCACCAGCAGCAAGCAGAACCTGCACCACACTGGAAGAAATCAGAAAGATGACAAGTGTCAAAAGCAGGAAGGGTCCAGGAAGTAGAGACCTGGATTCTGAAGCATGTTTGGGGACTAGATCTGCCTCTGCTCATGCGAGTGGTACAGTGGAAAGAACACGAACTCTGCGAATGTCAAAGACAAGCAGGGGTGGGAAAGCTGGCTCTGAAACTTACTGCCTGAGAGGCTCTAAACAAGTTATTTAACACCTCTCTAAGGCTTGGCCACAACTATAAAATACGAAGTGTTTAGCCAACAATTACTTACAGATGTTTACTATGTTCTAGTCATTGTTCTAGGTGCTAGGGTCTGTGCCCTCACAGAGCTTACTGCCTTCTGGGAAGGATAACAAGTTACCATAAAATTACAGAAAAGTGTGATGGAGAACTACCATATGCAGTGGGAAACCACGGGAGGGGAGCAAGAAAGGCGTCCCAGGGGACGTGGTATTTAAAGTATTGAAGACTTGAAGGCTGAGTAGCCAGATCTGGGATGGTAAAGTGGGAGGACTCAATGCATTTACAATTCCTGGAAGCAAAGAGCACAAGGCTTCACCTGAAGAAGGTAGAGTTGGAGTAGAGAGAGTAAGGGGAAGAACAGTGGGAGAAGAGGTAAGCCACTGAGGGCTTGCTTTAGAGGGGAAATGATATGACAACACGCTTTTCCTCCCCACTTCAAAAGATGAACATACTTAAAAAAATGCAAACCACATTGAAATATTAAGTTAAAAAATGAAAGTCTCCCCTTATCTCCATCTCCTTAATCAAAATTTCAAGAGTAACCACTCTTTATAGTTTGATGTGTTTCCTTCCAAACCTTTGCTATTAGAAGAGTCACTTGAGCGGCTGTGTGAGAATGGACTGGAGGGAGCCAGGACCAGAAGCAGGGGCCTCCACAGGGTTGCTGTGAGGTTGAATTAGGTAAACTTATAAAGCACCGAGCACAGTGCTTCACCCAGGAAGTACTCCCTATATGTTAGTTTCCCTTCTATTATGTAATGTTCGTGCTAATGCTTTCTCCTTTTTTCCTAATAAAAAAAGGTTTGTGTTCACTATAAAAAAATTTAGAAAATATACATAATAAAAAAAAGAAAAATATTTTAGAATATACAACATATTTTCAGTTTTTTCAAGTATGAATATTTTTATTTACAAAAATGAGATCCCACATAAACTCTCTTTAACACACACACCTTCCATGTAGTAAATATTTGTTTGCCACATTGTTTTTAACAACTGCACAGTATTCCACGATAATATTATTCTCTACTTTATTTAGCCAAACTTCAATTGGAAAACAATTAGACTATTTTTAATATTTCATAACACATCTCTGATTATTTCCTTTGGATAACTTCCTAGGAGATAGAGTTCTAGGTGAAACGTTTAAGCACTTTTAAGGGTTTTCATAAACATTACTAAATTGCCTTTAAGAAAGACTGTACCAATTTTCATTTTACCAGCAAAGGAAGTAAGATGAGATTAACTGTTGTCCCTTTCTTTTACCAAAATAGAGAGTTTTTTTCCTTTTTCATAATGTGTTAATCTGGTAAAGAGAAAAAGGAGTTACATTGCTGTTTCAACTTGCATTTCTTCGATTACTTGTGAGGTTGGACTTAAAAAACAGGTTAGCTGTGTTTCTTTTTTCATGAATCACAATAGTCAATTGTGTTTTTCTTCTCATGAATAATGTCCTTTACCCATTTTTCTCTGACTATTTTAATCTTTTGCTTACTGGCCTTGAAAACCGTTAACGCTTTTGAAGGCATAAATGGTAAGCATTCAAAAAATTATTCTAATTATCATAACTATTAAAAAGCCAAACTATAGTTTTAGTTTTTCCCTTTTTTATTAGTTTTTCAATATCTGTAACCAGCAGTGTTGACAGTTTTTCCTGTACCAACTGGTTTGGATTTCATTACCTTCAACAGGCATAGGACCTAGCTCAATTATTTGCTGAAGGGATGAATGAATTTCAAGAACTCCCATGCACACAAACACACAGGCCTCACAGGTAAGTCAAAGAACCAGAATCCATCTCCCACATGGCTGAGGTTTTCTATATCTGATCTAACACGGTCAGGTTAGTCTCCTGTGTCTATTCACCTGACCTAAAAGGATCTTAAGAATTACCTTTCACAGGTAATTTACCCAGGATATGGATTAAGATTCCAAAGAGAAAAAAGAAGGGTCTCCAAGCAGCTAAAATCCATGTCTAAAACTCAGATATTTAATTCATAGCAGAGTCTGTCAAGTTCTCACTTGAAGACTATTTGCTCTTAGCTTACACATAATTTGGATAAGACTGGCGTTAGTCTTCTTTCCCAGAAAATTAAAAGTCAAGAGGGTACAAAAACCCTGTTATAGATAGGTGAACTAACTGAAGGTAGTGAGAAAAAAATATCCCATAGAGAGGTAACGTGAGACAGAGGTTAAGAACACTAGCTTTAAAATCGAGGACAATCCGGGCATCAACATGAATAATGACAGCAATGGATTATAACCATTGAGTAAAATAAGACTCCATGAGTTCATATTGAAAATAAATTGGGGCTGGCCCCGTGGCCGAGTGGTTAAGTTCGTGCGCTCCACTGCAGGCGGCCCAGTGTTTCCTTGGTTCGAATCCTGGGCGCGGACATGGCACTGCTCATCAAACCATGCTGAGGCAGCGTCCCACATGCCACAACTAGAAGGACCCACAATGAAGAATATACAACTATGTACCGGGGGGCTTTGGGGAGAAAAAGGAAAAAATAAAATAAAATCTTAAAAAAAAAAAAAAGAAAAGAAATTAATAAGTCAATGGGGGGAAGGGAAAGCTCTTCCTTAGTGTAGAACGACAACCAATAAATGTAGAAGGAACTTAGATGTAGATGAAATTAGAAAGCCATCACTTTACAATCTCATAATTATCAGGGATAAAGTCTCTATCTAGCTCAAATGGTTGTGTTAATGTATGTAAAGTGCTTAGAACAGTGCCTGACATGTAAGTGCTCAACAAAAGTTCGTTATTATTACTATGTACCCCACCCTCCCGCTGGGCTGTGGGGAAGTCAAGAGAAGTACGGTCATGCACTGCATAATGACGTTTTGATCAATGATGGGCACAACGGTGGTCCTATAAGATTAGAACCATATAGCCTAGGTGTGTAGTAGGCTATATCATACACCAGCAGGCTATGATGTTTGAACGACAAAATTACCTAACAACGTGTTTCTCAGAATGTATCTCCGTCATTAAGCAACAGATGACTGTATGAACTAAGACACTTAAATTGGGAAGACAGTATGATATTTTATAACACACACACAGAGACCTAGGTTCAAGTCAAAGCTCTATCATTTACTAACTGTGATCTTGGACAAGTTACTACACTTCTGAGACTCCATTCCCTTACCAGAATAATGGAGATAATGATGCCTCCCCTGTAGGTTATAAGTATGTAAAACTCCATAGTACCTGCCAGATAGAAGGAGCTCCACAAATATGAGCTCTCTTCCCTTTGTCCGGGTAATCTTAGTGATAGAAACATGAATCTGGGCAGAAGTGGGCACCAGATCTATATGTGACCACCTCCAGGAATCATGTTGGTACAGCCCTGTGTTAAGAAGGCAGTTCTTCTATATTCTGCACAACCTGGCTTGTTTGAAAATCCAAGTGAGGAGGGTTTGTCAATCTAAACTCAAAGGGACATAATTTGGTTAATCCTCAGCTGCTATGTCCAATCACCATTCAATCACACTGCCTCCCATGGCAGGCTGTCCCTCTAGGCAGCTAGTGTCACTAACTGTGCTACCTGGGCCTCTCCAGGTTCGTGAGTATTGATCCCATCTGTCCAATTTGCAGGCTGCAAGACGTGTCCAAACAACCAAGTATGCTGCCCGTGGCCCCAGAGGGCAGACAGTGGTCTGGCAGGATGGTGAGAGGGGAGTGACTAGACTCGGCCCTGGGGCGGCTAACCCAATCAAAGGGAATGGGCAATTCACTTCACAAACTTGGAGGCCAGCAAGGGTAAGCATCCAAGCTAGTGACTCATTCTGCAACCTCGGAGAAGATTCCCTTCACTTTTAATAAAACTCAAAAGGCAGCAGCCCCACAGTGGGGTATAGCTAGGACTAAAGGAATTGTGGCTGCTTTGTGGCCAAGAGTGGCACCAAACACCTTCCCAGATGGCTAGTAGGCTTTTTGTCCAATAGCCATCATGTACTTATAAAGCATCTAACCCAGAGCTCCACAGGAATCAGGCCCTTCCTGGAGAAGCTAGCCCAGATCAGGATAGAGGGCTACCTAAGTATAGTTAGCTTTGGTGATCAAAAAGAACTTTGTGGACCTGTGGGCTGCAGCACGGCAGCAGCAGGGTAGGAGGCTGGCCAGGCTGAGAAAGCTAAGGCAAGGCTGGTGAGAACAGGCTTAGCAGCAGGTAGGCCAGGCCCAAGGAGTGCAAAGAAGCTCATAGCCAAAACAGAAGCAAGGGCTGGAGACCCAGCAGCAGAGATGTGAGGCAGAGAGTCAAAAGCCAGGTCAATGTCAAGGACTAGAGGCTGAGGGAGAACAGCAGATCACCAACCAAGTACGCAGCCAGAAACAAGGGACACAATGGTATCAGAGTTCAAGGCAAGGCAAAAGAAGCAGAAACTAGCAGCAGCAGCGAGGAGACTTTGGAAATGAAGTGATTTCTGCCTCTGTGATGTTTTTTGCTGAAGTAGAAATAAATCCCCAAATTTAGAACTCTATTTGGGAGACCGTGACTTACGGGGAGATGGTAAGTTAGCCCACCTGGCTCACAAGTGGAGTACAGGGTCAGCAGTAAAACCAGAATCTGATGGCACAAAGGGAGGCAGGCACTGCTATTCAAGGTGATCCACCAAAGGACGACTGCAGTGCCCCCTCTGTTCTAGGACTGGCATACTGGCTGCCATTTCATAGTTGGGGTTTAGCTATTACTGCCTTAAATTTGAGTAGCTGGTGCCAAATGGGCTGTGGTGTATGG